CATTAGGAAATATTGTGGGAGAATGATCTCGTAATCACGAAACTTCTAAGTATCGGAGTGTGGTATCATCTTGACTTGCCTTATCTGTCTCATAGGTAGATGTGGCAGCTTCTCTGGAAGTACTCTTCCTCCATCCAGGGGTGGTATCTTTAACTGGTGGAGATGCACAAGGTAATGTATCAATTTTACTTGAAGCTTACTTGTAGTTTCAGGCTTGGTCAAGCGCGATACAAACCATGTAGTAGGAGTCCCCCAAGTCGCCGAGCTAGGGGATTTGCTGAAAGAGGTGACAGACAAGGTAAGCAATCAGAGCTCCGGCTGATTGTTCACCTTCTCCCCATCTTGCAGCAGCATGAAGGATAAAGAGAAGAAAAATGAGAAGAGATGATATGGGATACTTTTGCTTTTGAAGAAGTAACTTTCCACAGGCTTATTCTTGAACTGAGCTGGAGGGTTTTCTGGTTTCCTCCAGAGTATAAGGCCGACTGAAGAATTTGAGGGTCAAAACAAGTCCATCAAATCTAGAGTACGTTCGACCCTGCTGATATGGGATACTTTTGCTTTTGACAGAGTAATGGATGGATCGGCACGTGTGCTGTTACGCTTGTCTCCACATGCTTCCTTGTATCCTTCGCACTTGCCCTATCTGTTCCTCAAGCAGATGCGGTATCTTCCCTGGCAACATAAGATGTTGAAGATGAGTACTCGAGAGCAATGCCAGGTAAGTAATCAGGTAAGGGGTTCCAGGCTGTCAGTTCCTGGCTGGGAGCTTGATTTCAAGTGCTGACTGATTGCTCTCTTTCTCCTTATCTTGCAGGTAAAAACAAGGCCAAAGGAAAAGACAGGGAAAAAAGCATGATATGGGATACTCTTGCTTTTAACCCTGATGATATGAGATATTCTTGCTCTAGTATAGCTTGTTTGCAGAGGTATTATCGGGGGGAAAGAAAGCTGAATATTTCGAAAGGCTTCGTTGGGAGTGCCCTCTCAGATATGAGGAAGGGTTGAGCATTTTTGCAGGTCTGCCTGTCCGTTGGGGATGGAGGTCGACATATATAGGAGTCTCCCTAACAACAAGTAGTAATGCTATTCCTTTACCCTGCTTGGTCATAGCACGGTAGTGGGAGCTGCCAGCTTCACATGTTTTAACTCTGTCAGAGCACTTTGAAAAAGTGGTATGTGGTATCTGGCTCTCGAGATTCGGAGAACGATGCTTCTTCGATTTTTGAGAAAGCAATCATGGTGGGGGTCTGGCTCTCGAGATTCGGGGAGCAGTGTCTCTTCGATTTTTGAGAAAGTAATCATTTTGGGAGTCTGGCTCTCGAGATTCGGAAGGCGGTGCCTCTTCGATTTTGGAGTAAGCAATCTTGTTGGGAGTGTTTTCTCGGATGTGAGTAAAGGTTGGGCATGTTTGCTAGCCTACCTTGCCACGAAGCACGGAGGTTGACACACAGGGACTTTCCAATTATCCAGCAGTGGTACTGTTCCTTTACCCTTGTGGGTAATAATATGGTAGCTAGACCTTCAAAATTTATGTGTCTAAACTTTGTTAGTGCTGTTTCTTTGCTATTCTTTTACCTTTCTTGGTCAGAGCGATGTAGTGGGAGCTGCAAGCTTCACGTGCTCAACTTTGGCAGAGACTTTGACAAAGTTATCTGTGGTACCCATGAGCTATTGTTGCGTGTGGGAAGTGGGTGATTGAACAGTAAGATTCATGTGCTTTCTACTTCACCAGAAGTCTTCGACAGAATGCCCATAATTTCCGCAAAGCTGAGTGTGCGTGTGACAGGTGCTGACAAGGCTAGAAAAGAAGGTGCCTCTTCGATTTCTGAGATCGGCCCTCGTGGTCTCTGAGCAGCCCAGCTTTTGAGAAAGCGAGCGCCTCTTCGATTGATTCGGAGAACGATGCCTCTTCGATTTTTGAGAAAGCAATCATGCTGGGGGTCTGGCTCTCGAGATTCGGGGAGCAGTGTCTCTTCGATTTTTGAGAAAGTAATCATGTTGGGAGTCTGGCTCTCGAGATTCGGAGGGCGGTGCCTCTTCGATTTTGGAGCAAGCAATCTTGTTGGGAGTGTTTTCTCGAATGTGAGTAAAGGTTGGGCATGTTTGCTAGTCTACCTTGCCACGAAGCACAGAGGTTGACACACAGGGACTTTCCAATTATCCAGCAATGGTACTGTTCCTTTACCTTCTCTCGATTCGATTTTTGAGAGAAAGTAGTCATGTTGGGAGTCTGGCTCTCGAGATTCGGAGGAGGGTGCCTCTTCGATTTTGGAGCAAGCAATCTTATTGGGAGTGTTTTCGAATGTGAGTAAAGGTTGGGCATGTTTGCTAGTCTACCTTGCCACGAAGCACGGAGGTTGACACACAGGGACTTTCCAATTATCCAGCAGTGGTACTGTTCCTTTACCCTTGTGGGTAATAATATGGTAGCTAGACCTTCAAAATTTATGTGTCTAAACTTTGTTAGTGCTGTTTCTTTGCTATTCTTTTACCTTTCTTGGTCAGAGCGATGTAGTGGGAGCTGCAAGCTTCACGTGCTCAACTTTGGCAGAGAACTTTGGCAAAGTTATCTGTGGTACCCATGAGCTATTGCTGCGTGTGGGAAGTGGGTGATTGGACAGTAAGATTCATGTGTTTTCTACTTCCCCAGAAGTCTTCGACAGAATACCCATAATTTCCGCAAAGCTGAGTGTGCGTGTGACAGGTGCTGACAAGGCTGGAAAAGTAGGTGCCTCTTCGATTTCTAAGATCGGCCCTCGTGGTCTCTGAGGAGCCCAGCTTTTGAGGAAGCGAGCGCCTCTTCGATTTCTGAGATCGGCTTTCGTGGTCTTTAAGCAGCCCAACTTTTGAGAAAGCAAACACCTCTTCGATTTATGAGATCAACCCTCGTGGTCTCTAAGCAGCCCAGCTTTTGAGAAAGCAAACGCCTCTTCGATTTCTGAGCAGGCGCCTCTTCGATGTCTGAAGCTCCGTCGAGTGCAGCTTTTTATAGGGCTGGCATTAAGTTCCAAAGCACACTTGAATCTCCACCAGTAGAAGCTCCATTCTTGCACTTCTAAGATCTTGATTTGTCCGACCTCTTCTCTCTTCAATACCTTTGAAAATGTCTGGCCCCTCCGACCGTCGTTTTGACTTGAACCTTGTTGAAGAGGCAGCCCCGCCTTCTCCAGACAACATATGGCGCCCATCCTTCGTCTCCCCTACTGGTCCTCTTACCGTTGGGGATTCCGTGATGAAGAATGATATGACCGCTGCGGTGGTGGCCAGGAACCTTCTCACTCCCAAAGATAACAGACTACTTTCCAAACGGTCTGATGAGTTAGCTGTTAAGGATTCACTGGCTCTCAGTGTTCAGTGTGCAGGTTCTGTGTCTAATATGGCCCAACGCCTATTTGCTCGAACCCGCCAAGTTGAATCATTGGCGGCCGAAGTGATGAGTCTCAAACAGGAGATTAGAGGGCTCAAGCATGAGAATAAACAGTTGCACCGGCTCGCACATGACTATGCTACAAACATGAAGAGGAAGCTTGACCAGATGAAGGAAACTGATGGTCAGGTTTTACTTGATCATCAGAGATTTGTGGGTTTGTTCCAAAGGCATTTATTGCCTTCGTCTTCTGGGGCTGTACCGCGTAATGAAGCTCCAAATGATCAACCTCTGATGCCTCCTCCGTCTAGGGTTCTGTCCAGTACTGAGGCTCCGAATGATCCCCCTCCGATGCCTTCTCTTTCTGGGGCTCTACCGACTGCTGAGACTTCTCCTAAGCAACCTTTGTGAAGGCTCCATCTTGTTTGTTTATTTTGACTCATGTATATGTACATATTTGTAGCTTATCGGGGATATCAATAAATAAGTTTTCCTTCATTTCAACGTATTGTGTTAAATACACCAAAGCCTTCTTCGCTAAGTTCTTTGAATTTTCTTTTGTTGAAGCTTGTATGTTGAAGCTTTCTGAGTGGAGCATGTAGGTTGGGGTAGTGTTCCCTTAATTTTTTCGAGTGAGGAAAACTTCTCGGTTGGAGACTTGGAAAATCCAAGTCACTGAGTGGGATCGGCTATATGAATCTTAGAACGCCATTGTGCTCGGTCCTGTGTCATGTCCTTCGTTAGATCCAAGTACTCTAAGTCTTTTCTTAGAGTCTCTTCCAAAGTTTTCCTAGGTCTTCCTCTACCCCTTCGGCCCTGAACCTCTGTCCCATAGTCGCATCTTCTAATCGGAGCGTCAGTAGGCCTTCTTTTTGCACATGTCCAAACCACCGTAACCGATTTTCTCTCATCTTTCCTTCAATTTCGGCTACTCCTACTTTACCCCGGATATCCTCATTCCTAATCTTATCCTTTCTCGTGTGCCCACACATCCAACGAAGCATCCTCATCTCCGCTACACCCATTTTGTGTACGTGTTGATGCTTCACCGCCCAACATTCTGTGCCATACAGCATCGCCGGCCTTATTGCCGTCCTATAAAATTTTCCCTTGAGCTTCAGTGGCATACGGCGGTCACACAACACGCCAGATGCACTCTTCCACTTCATCCATCCAGCTTGTATTCTATGGTTGAGATCTCCATCTAATTCTCCGTTCTTTTGCAAGATAGATCCTAGGTAACGAAAACGGTCGCTCTTTGGTATTTCTTGATCTCCGATCCTCACCCCTAACTCGTTTTGGCCTCCATCTGCACTGAACTTGCACTCCATATATTCTGTCTTTGATCGGCTTAGGCGAAGACCTTTAGATTCCAACACTTCTCTCCAAAGGTTAAGCTTTGCATTTACCCCTTCCTGAGTTTCATCTATCAACACTATATCGTCTGCGAAAAGCATACACCAAGGAATATCATCTTGAATATGTCCTGTTAACTCATCCATTACCAACGCAAAAAGGTAAGGACTTAAGGATGAGCCTTGATGTAATCCTACAGTTATGGGAAAGCTTTCGGTTTGTCCTTCATGAGTTCTTACGGCAGTCTTTGCTCCTTCATACATATCCTTTATAGCTTGGATATATGGAAGAGAGCAAACGTAGCAAGTTCAGGAGGATTTGTGTGTTCTGTGGAAGCAACTCTGGCCTCAGGAAAGTGTTCCGTGACGCTGCTCTGGAGTTGGGCAATGAACTGGTATGACTGCTTTTGTTCTATTTTTACACTCTCTTTGCTTATCTTTGTTTAATCGTGTTTATGGTTGTTTAAGTGCTGGATTTTTGGTTTAAAAATGTAATCTTTGATGAGTTTGAATCCACCTTGAGTTGTTTTTTGATGGGTTTTTGTGTTTTTTTGGTAATGGGATTGTTTTGGGTTTTTGTATTTTAGAGTAATGTCTCCAACGGAGAAAGACTTACCCATCATGTGTTGTTCGTGGTTGTATTTTGTTGTTCTTTCCGTATTGTTATTTGTTTATTTGTTTATTTTTTTTATTTTTAAACTTTCAATAAGTGCTAAACCAAATTTTAATCTTTTTTTTGGTATTTTGGGTATCCTCTGTTTGGGTTGTTGTTGTTGTTTGGGTATGCTCTGTTTGGATGCTCAGAGAGATAGGATTTACTTTTGGATATGCTCTATAAGAAACTACAATTTACATTTAGTTTTGGTTCTTTACATTTGGTTTTGGATATGCTCTATATTTCACATTATCTTTTAATTTGATAATGTGTATACTGAGAAATTACAATTTTTTTCTTTAACTTGATTTCTCATATTGAAGACTCAGGGCAAATACTTGGAGAGAACTCGACCACTATTGGCTGCTCTTTAACTCTATTTCTCATATTTAATACAGTAGCTGAGCAATCTGGTAACATTTTCATCCTGGTACAACCTTATTTTTGTTAATTTTCCAATTTATCTCTTTACTCGGTCACCTTTAAGCAAATCACAATTGCGCCTCTACATTTATCCGCTCATTACTATTTATGTTTGCTGCTTATTTTTCATTGGGATTGGTTCTAAAATTCTAATTTGTTTAAGCAATGACGAACTGGAATTGATTTTGAAATTCCGTCACTATGCAAAATTGCAAATGGGTGATCAAATGAAACACATAATTTTGATACACTTGGCTAAAGCATTGGAATTCCATCATTAATAAATTGAAAAAACCAACAAAAATCCTTGCTTTTAAGCAACATACTGATGAAGTTGACCCAACCTAAGATAACCATATCTATGTATATGTACAAGAAAAAACTGTTGGACAATTATATATACATAGTTCATATCAAAATTTATTTACATAGTTCACACAGAAATATAGGTGTTTGTAGCATAAGCAAATACACAACTTATTTATAAAAACTTCAATATCTGTTTAGCTCTTTATCACTGAAAATAGATAGCTATTTTATTTACCATTTGCAATTAAAGTTGAACAATGCTTGCTCCCAATAAATATTTGAAATTAGCTATGTATTTTGTTTTGCTCTTATTTTGGGGTTTCCTTCAAAATTTCTAATACTTGGAAAAGGTGGTAAATGTGCATGTTTTATATGCATGTTTCAGATTGTTTTGAGTTAATGAGCTGGTGGTTTGTGTTGCTCAAGTAAGATGAGAATATATTTGTGTTGCCAACTATGGATTGCAATGGATATGTGTGTTGCATCATCTGATATCAATTTAATACATTTTATTGAATACAATTTTACTCTCTCATCTTTTGAGAGTTCATTGAATTAGAGCAATATTATTGAAAATTTTGTTGCTGAGAATTTTGTGGGATTTCCTGAAGCACGGATTCTCATCTTTACACGGCCCATTTAATTTTGCTTAATGCTGATGTATGAGGAGAACTCTCATTGCATCAACCTCAGCAAACATGCTTTGGCTTAGTGGCTAACCCAGTTAATTTTTATGCTCTATTTGCCTTCTCCATTTCCAGTTGAATGAATTGGTTAAAGTTTTTGTGACTGTAAATTATATTGGTTAATGAACGCCTTCAAGAGTATTCTGATTTGGTCCCTTATGTATCTATATAGTATCAAACTATATAACTTTCTTTTGCATGATCCTTTACTGTATTTCTTTGCTGTTGCACTAGATTTAACCTTGATTCTTAACTAATATGTGATGGTGGATATGCAGTGCTTTTATTCAGGAGTATCAGAACTGGGACATGACATGGGCTTTGCCAGCATTATATGTCATGCTTATGAGATTAGGGTTCTAGCTGAGAGGGTAAGTTCAATAAATTAGTTTTGTTTCAATAACGAGATATGTGCTTTATTTAGTAATTGGTTGTTGATATGTTGGGAAGACGGATCGACTAAGACTATTACGTGTGGTTTTGTAGACTGTTTTGGTTCTTTATTGAACATGAGAATCATAGAATGTAAATAAATTTTAATATAGATGAGAATAAATTTAATATATTTCACATGTTTAACATAGTTTTAAAACCCGCGGCATCGCGCGGGCTCAATTTCTAGTTATACCTATAAGTGAGATATGAAACTTAACTAAAAGGTAGAAAAAAAACATAATATACCTACAAGCAAAACACATTAATCTGTAACAGGTTGACTATGAAAAAGAATCTGTCATATAGGTAGATAAATACAATTAACTTGTGATATAGGTTGATTATAAAAATTTAAAAAAAACTATAAATGGGTTAAAGCAGGAGGAAGAACAAGAAATAACAAAACAAAATATAAAAAGAAATAATCAAACAGATAATTAGGAAGAAATTTGATTTTTACAATAAGTTTTTTCTTTTAAGAGATCATTATTGATAATAAAATAATTAAATTTAAAGAATTGGACTTATTTTAATAAATTGGACCATTTCTACTATTGGCTAAAAAAATTGGAGTTATATCAAGTTTCCCCTAATTTAAATTTGAATATCGTTTGATTAAAACGACGACAATTTGGATAGAAAATATAAGATCAACCCAACAATCTATATTACATTGTTTTCAACTCTAAAAAATACTCTTTCTCCACCCTCTCTCGACGAAGAGAGTGCAAGTTTAATATTTCTACACTACTTAGGTATCTTTTATAAGGAGTGAGATTAAATATAGAGATACTTCTATACTTTTGTAAGAAATGTCGTATGGATGACTTAATCTGTATGTCCCAAAATCCAAGTTTTTCTTCTCAAGTGAACTTCCAAGCCGAAAGTGAATGGATTGGGGTTCCTTTCCACCCAACAATAAGACATTTCCCATTCCTATCAAGTGTGCAAGGAGGGCTTCCAAACTTTTTAGCCACCAAACTAGCTTGGTACAAAGCTACATTACTTAAGTTGATTTCCACAATTCTAAGCCTTGCAAAGAAGGCTCTCCACACCTCCATCGTCACGCTTCTCACAACCCTTTCACTCCCCTCCGCCACCACAATGTTTCGTATTCCCTCATGTAACAACCCCTCCATCAGCACTCTGTCCTTCTCCTGCTTCATGCAAGTCTCAAGGCAGTCGAAAAATGCACTGTAATAAAACAGCGCATCGATGAATCGGTTCACAAATGACGGTGAATTGTGGTTGGCCTCCACCTCAATCACCACCATTACACAAGGGGTGAGCTTTCTCATCACCCTCATCAGATTTTCCAAGCAACTTGGCCTCGAAATCATTGTCCTTAGTATTATAGGCGCGTAAACCACCACAGCTTCGTCATCCTTGACATCAAACAATTGGTCCTTGACATCTTCCATGTCTGTCACAATCACTGCCTTGAATTGAAAGGGTAAATTCAAGGCCTCTGCGACGCTTGCCAGCCTCCTTCCTGTCTCCTCGATCTTCTGCTTGCCCGTCACTCCCACTGCAGTTATTGTAAGGAGCTCAATGGGGCACTCCTCGCGCCCTGCAAGCACTTCCATCAGCCCTGTCCACTGCACTCCGCATCTGATTTCGAGATCAATCAAATGAACCTTGCTTTCCAAGACTACATTTTCGAGTATTACTTGGATTCCTGGGTACTGCATAACTGAATGAAAAGGGGTATTTTGGTAGAATGCAAGAGTTGTAAGGTTTGTGCTTAGTCCATTACTATAAGTAGACATTTCATTCCCCTTATACATGCTGTTCCCCGTTTCGTTGTCGATCCTCTCGCGAAGCGCCTTGGCAAAATAGAAAACAACCCTCTGGACAGGGTTGACTTTGAAGGAGGCAGCAAATTCGCAACGAAGAAGCAGGCGGTTTGCGCGCTCGAATTGTTGGTAGCCTACCTTCTCTGCTGCAGCTAAAAAGATGTGAGCAAGCTCCACATCTTTCGTTTCTTCTTCAGATAGACCCGAAAGCGCGTAGCCAAACGGGTGCAAAGGCATGAAAAAATCGCCATATCCTTGATTAGAGAATTGCACATACCTTGCTCCGGCAACCCTCATGATCTCCTCGGTTGACAATTTTTGTTGGATCGAAAACAAGGAGGCTTCAGCTTCATTGCATCTGTTGCTTAATCTGTCTCCCCTCAGATTCTTGAACGCACTGCCGTAGTTGTTTAGGAGCTCCAACACAGCTAAGGAAGACTGATGGGGCATTTGCTTGTTGGTCTCCGCAATGTCTGATTCTCCTATTTGGCTGTGCGTGAGCTCATTCGTCGCGTCCTGGATTGGTTGCGTGGATGAGAAGGCAGAGTCAAAGGTGAAATTATCCCAATCGGAGTAATTTGACTTGGATGGTTGTTGGTAATGTTGATTTTGTTGTTGGTAGTGGCGGTGGTCGTGATCTTTGGAAACATGAGATCGTGCTTTCTCGCACTTGCTGCTGGAACGTTGGAGATCATGTTCGGAACAACCTGTATCGAAACTGAAATTATCCAACATCAAATAACTTGCCTTGGATTGTTGTTGATCTTTGGACAAATGAGATAACTTTTCCATCTCTCCCAGCCCTAATTCTTCTATCCCAAACAAATGGTCTGGCTTCCCTTTGAGCTCCTGATCTTCCTTCTCATAATCTTCGAGCTGGGAAGTCAAACCACTGCCGCCGCCGAGGACTCCAAAATCAAAGGGTGTGAAGGAGAAGAATGCATTCGCCATGCCGGATTATATGTGAACAAACAAATTCACCAAATATATTCTCAGAGCCCACAAACAAATTCACCAAATATATTCTCAGAGCTCAAGTGAACCTCAAGTGAGACAGTAAGATTATTCGGATTCGTATCGATGAATATATCTATATCAGTTTGTATGTTTGGTTGATAACAACGATCGCACGCATGAATAATAAAGCACAGTTTAAGGCGAGGAATGCAACCACGATAGTGACATAATTCCGATATTGTCAACAAAGCCAGCAGCCATGAAATGCCAAAAACTTGTCCAAATAAAAACCATTTAATCCTCTATTTGAGCTAAAAATTAAACAAACGTCATTGCTAATTACCATATTTAATCAAAATGTTCTGCGCAAAATTACAAGGTTGATTAAACGATGGGATTAATTAAAGGAAGAAGATGTGGACTGGCTTGGATGAGTACAGAGGGTTAAAAGACAAGCTCAGAAACATGTAGATATACCCTACCATTTAACTTGAGAAGATACCATTTAGCTTGACCATATATACAGTACTTCTCGTAGTCTCAACTTAATGCACCAATTTTTTGTTTTTACATTATAAAGGGACCAATAACAAGATACCAACTATGTTGACCTTCATTATCTGATTGATAATATATAAATGCACGTCTTGCCAAGAATAATACAATTAAATAATTAAGATACAGTTGTTGTACGTTGGGTTCATCCAAAGAAAAGAAAAATGAAATTACTATTTTGGAACAGCTACCCAACAATACAAAATTAAGTATGAAATGAAGAAGAGAAGAGATCTGTAGCTCAAATAGTTCAGAAAATTTACTTATGCACCTGAGGTTTTGTGTTCGATAGTCAATAAATTGGATGAGAATTGTGAGATTTAGACCTTGTTGTCTTGACGACCATGATCTTCTCCGCAATCGTTACAAAGTTTGGCTTCTGTCCTTCTACATAACAAAACCATGGAAAGCCACATAAGACCCTTTACCACCCTAACCATACCAATAGCCACAGTGAGGTAATATAGCCACCAACCAACAAAGTCAGCCACTCCTAAGCCCATTGCCAGCTTTCTTTTAGCTTTAGCCACAACAACAAAAGACTCAACCTCGTCCCTCAACCTCCACCACCACAAACAACCAAAGCTGGCAGCTATTGCCACCCTCTCAACCCACTTTTCCTCTCTAGCGCCACCGAAAATCGTGTCATCCACCACCGGCTTCACCATAACCCTACACCAATGAAGCATGGTCTCATGCAACCCTAGGAAAAATATTGCTCTGCTCAACAAACATATTTTGCCATCAACAACACCGCCGAAAGTAGCGCACCCATCTACCTCAGCGGCGATGCGACCTTTGATTCCCAAACCGACGCAGACTTGCAATGTGCACAGGAATATACAAGCAGTGTTCAAACGGGGACGGAAAATGGGACTCGGGAACCCGGTTATGATGGTGATTTTTCCTGTTATGCAGTGGATAAAGGCGGCTATAGTGACGATGGAAACAAGAAGATAGAGAAAAGAAGGGGTAGCATAGAGGAAGAGATAGAAGATGCATGATGAATCGTAGTTCGAGGGCTCCGGAGGAGGAATGATGAGAGTGGGGAAGCTTATGCTTAAGAGACAGTTGGCGCAAGATAGCCTGGATAGGAGGAGGAATGAGAGGGGAAGCAATAAACTGAGGAGGGTGAGTGTGAGAATATGGAAAGGTTGTTTTAGGAAGATAGTCGAATTGACCAAGAGCTTCTTAGCACTTTGTTCCGAATTGTACTGCCGACCCATTTTTAGTTGTAAACCCTAAATTAAAGCGATCGATCGATCTTTTTTCTTGTCTAGAAAACGATGAATATAATGTGAAAGGCTTAGGGTTAAGCTACATACCTGATAAATTGATCACAATTAGTTGCCAACAAGAATATATAGTGGTCGCCACGCTCAAGTATAGTTGACTTCTAGACATGGTCTTATAAAAGCCCACCTTCCTAATAATTGCTTGAATGAATGTATATAGTGTTCTTTGATATATATCATTAATGATAATTAAGAAGACTTTTAAAGTAAGACTCTTCAAAGATTCTTTATCACCTTACAGTTTAACATTAGTTTCTGTGTCAATATTATAATATATTGTGTAAAAAACATGAGGTGGCAAAAAGTTCATAGAGAGTTCCACCTTTGAGAAAGTCTTCTTAGCATTTCTCATATATATATATATCTCAGAGAAAATTTATTGCCATTTGCTATTAGTCTATATACAATATATTGTTCATTGGACCAGTTCAAACTTGAGGACTTTTCTAGTATACACAGATATATATAAGTTTTTCTCCTCAACTGAATTTCCAAGCAGAAAGCGAATGGATTGGGGTACCCTTCCACCCAACAGTAAGACATTTCCCATTCCTATCAAGCGTGCAAGGAGGGCTTCCATATTTTTTAGCCGCCAAACTAGCTTGGAACAAAGCTGCATTACTTAAGTTGATTTCCACCATTCTAAACCTTGCAAAAAAGGCTCTCCACGCCTCCATCTTCACGCTTCTTGCAACCCTTTCACTCCCCTCCGCCACCACAATGTTTCGTATTCCCTCATGGAACAGCCCCTCTATCAGCACTCTGTTCATCTCCTGCTTCATGCAAGTCTCAAGGCAGTCGAAAATTGCACTGTAATAAAACAGCGCATCGATGAATCGGTTCACAAGTGACGGTGAATTGTGGTTGGCCTCCACCTCAATCACCACCATTACACAAGGGGTGAGAGTTCTCATCCCCCTCACCAGATTTTCCAAGCAACTTGGCCTCGAAATCATTGTCCTCAGTATTAAAGGTGCGTAAACCACCACAGCTTCGTCATCCTCAACATCAAACAACTGGTCCTTGACATCTTCCATGTCTGCCACAATCACTGGTCCTTGCCAGCCTCCTTCCTGTCTCCTCGATCTTCTGCTTGCTTGTCACTCCCACTGCGGTTATTGTAAGGAGCTCAATGTGGCACTCCTCGCACTCTGCAAGCACTTCCATCAGCCCTGTGTAAGAATGTGAGCATAAGTATGAATATGTGAACTTAGTTACAGGATTAAAGACTGAATAGGAAGTCTTATCGGGATTGGATTTGTGAATCCATATTGGTGCTGAATTACTATTTCATAGGAATTGTTTTTCTATCTGGATTTTAATAGGGAAATCCTTATGGAAGAAGGCTAGGATTATGTAGTGCATATATATAGTGGCCTCTGCTCTCGCAGTGTGTGCTCAACTCCGGACTAAGACCTATTGTTAGTTAAGAGCCTTTGAACATTGAAGAGAGGAGAAGGCGCACTGTGTCTTGTTGTAGAGATTAAACACGGTAGCCGGTTCAAGTTCTTCCGCAGGTATGTCTTTTCTCTGTGCACTGCTTTATGGTTTATGGTTTTGTGTTTGAATCACGGTAACTTGCTTTGCATGATCTTGGTGTTGTGTTTATGCTAACACCCTGTCCATTGCACTCCGCTTCTGATTTCGAGATCAAGCAAATGAACCTTGCTTTCCAAGGCAACGTTTTCAAGTATTACTTGGATTGCTGGGAGCTGCATTACTGGAATAAAAGGGATATCTTGGCAACATGCAAGAAATGAAAGATTTGTGCCTAGTCCAAGACTATACGTAGACATCTGATTCCCCTTATACATGCAGTTCCCAGTTTCCTTTTTTATTCTCTCACTAAGCACCTCGGTGAAATAGAAACAACCCTCTGAACACCGTTGACCTTGTTGGTAGTGGCGGTGGTCGTGATCGTTGGAAACATGAGCTCATCCTTTCTCGGACTTGCTGTTGGATCGTTGGAGATCATGTTTGGAACAAACTGTATCGAAACTGAAATTATCCATCATCAAATAACTTGCCTTGAATTGTTGTTGATCTTTGGACAAATGAGATAATTTTTCCCTCTCTCCCAACCCTAATTCTTGTATCCCAAACAAATGGTCTGGCTTCCCTTTGAACTCCCTATCTTCCTTCTCATAATCTTCAAGCTGTGGAGTCAAACCACCACCGCCACCGAGGACTCCAAAATCAAAGGGTGTGAAGGAGAAGAATGCATTCGCCATGTCGGATAAGGGTAATGCACAAACAAATTCACCAGATATATTCTCAGAGTTTAAGAGAACATGACAATAGTATTATTCAGATTTGTATCGATGAATATATCTATATCAATTTGTATGTTTGGTTGATAACAACGATCACAGGCATGGGTACTAAAGCACATTTTAAGGGAGGAATGCCACCATGATAGTGACATAATTTCGATATATTCAACAAAGGTAGAAGTCATGAAATGCCAAAAACCTGTATTTAACCCTCAATTTGAGCTAAAAGTTAAACAAATGTCACTGCCAATCACCATATTTAATGAAAATATTCTGCGCAAGATTACAAGGTTGTTAAACGAAGGGATTTAATTAAGGGAAGAAGATGTGGAATTATTTGGATGAGTACGGGGAGTTAAAGACAAAACTCAGAAACATTACAAATAAAAGGGTTGGATAGGAAAGTAAAAACCTAAAAGCAGTAACGAATTATTAGATTACTGTCCGTAGTTTTTTCAATAGGAGAAGATTACCATAGACTTTGATCCTTTTTAATCCAGCATTTTCGGAAATATCATGGAATTGGAAATTCGGAAGAAAACTTTTTAACTCCAATTAGGTCAATTAATAGTGGTATTCCTCGTCACTGGTAAGTGAGAAGTCTTAGGTTTGATTCTAGCCAAAAGTGAATTTGAATCACATTATTGCTAGCCCATTGTGAGGCTAAATCCACCCCCTAGTGTAGATAATATTGATTATTCAATAAAATAAAGGGTCAATTAACCTTGCATTAGCTGTGATTGATTATATATATTTACAGAAGAAGATCAGTAACGACAGAAAAACACATGCTAGCACAGGGTTATACCCATTGTGTTTATCTCACTGTTCACATTATATAACTTACGTGAGAAGTAAGATGAGATATTTCGTGCCAGCCAGGTAAGTTCCACAACGAGAGAATTTTAACTCTTTCGTTAATATTGTACAATACTTCTTGCTCAAGTTATGATCTATGAAATCAGAGACACCATCTTGCAATGAGCTGTGTTATGATTGGTATATATCAACTTGTCGCTGTATTTGTACTTAAGAAGATACCATTTTACTTGATCATAGTACTTCTCATATTCTCAACGTAATGCACCAATTGTTTGTTTTTACATTGTAAAGGAACCAATACAAAGTTACCAACAATGTTGATCTTCATTGTCAGCTGATTTGATAATATATAAATGCACATCTTGCCAAGAATAATACAAGTAAATAATTAAGATACAGTTGTACGTTGGCTTTAAAAATAGGGTACAAGTTGATCCAAAGAAAAGAAAAATTAAATTAAATTTTGGAACAGCTACCCAACAATACAAAATGAAGTATGAAACGAATAAGATAAGGGATCTATAGCTCAGATGGCTCAGAACATTTATTCTTGAACTTAAGTTTTGTGTTCGATAATCAATTAAGTAGATGAGATTATAAGATTTAAACCTTTTTGTCTTGACGATCATGATCTTCTCTGCAAACGTTACGAAGTTTGGCTTCTGTCCTTCTACATAACAATGGAAAGCCACACAAGACCCCTTACCACCCTAACCATACCAATAGTCACAGTGAGGTAATACAGCCACCAACCAACCAAGTCAGCCACTTCTAAGCTCATTGCCAGCTCTCTTTTGGCTTTAGCCACAACAACCAAAGACTCAACGTCATCCCTCAACCTCCACCCCCACAAACAACCAAAGCTGGCAGCTATTGCCACCTTCTCACCCCACTTTTCCTCTCTAGCGCCACCTAAAACCCTGTCATCCACCACCGGCTTCACCACAACCCTACACCAATGAACTTCCAGTGTGGCTAGTTTATTGCCATATATATGCTAATTAAGAATAACAAAATTTTATTTTTAATTATGGTGGTAGAAGATGCCTTCTTTATGCATCAATGATCATCCATTTACGGCAAAGCCGACTTTTGCAATAGAAAATACTTGCTTGTGTATTTATCCTTGTTAATTTGGAGGATTAAAATTATGATCAATTGGTCTTTCTTTTCTAATCAAGTTTTAATTAATATTGGTGATCTTAATTAGTTATAGCAGTCGTACATGCTGATTCTTTTCATTGCATGTCACTGTCTGGGATTATGGCGTAACATGTGACGTTTGGTGATTTACTAAAGCTAGGAGACGGATAGAGTGTGCTTGTGAATAATTTGATGAACAACAAATGTACAATCTCTCTCTCTCTCTGACACGCCTCGATCTCGATATTCCCCGAATACCAGGATAGGCACGTGTTGGCTGACACCCAAGAGTGATGAAAGCCATTTATTGAGTGCAAATGTTGAAAACAAGGGATATATAAGACTTATAAATATAAAAATAATGAATATGCATTTCAGGAACTTGTTCAGAGCATACAACTAATCTAGAACGCATAAATAATTAATATAAAATTGAATGAACAAAGGAGTGGGTCCTACACCAAGAGGACTTAAAGATGCCGATGCAGAAGTGCCTTGACGCCGGGATTGTATGCCTCGATTCTAAATCCTGAAGGGGGCACAAAACAAACATGAGTGGATCAAGTTGATATATATATATATACTAAAATAGTTATCAACGTACTAACTCCCAGATTTTATGAAAACACACATATATCATGATAAACATAGGTTTTCCGAAACCTAGCATGTCGTGCTCTCAAATCATAACTTGTATATATAATAATCACTAATGAATGTCCGATAACTCTTCAGGCCCCATGCCGGCTCCCCGTCCCTGTGCTAATAGCCAGAGGAGAAACACTTCAGGCCCTATGCCAACACCATAATCGTCGCCTGGGACGGACCATAATCCATCCCTTCGTCCCGTAGTGGAATAGGGACCACTAGGTAAGTACAAAACCATTGAACATATATACATTTGAAAAACAACTTCATAGTATAAAGTCATCCATTATCTATACTATAAAGAGGTGTTCTAAACATGTTCTAAATATCATATCGTCATCCATAAGATATTTTATAAGAACACGGGTTATAGGAAAAATACTAATAATTCAAAATAGTTTCAGTAAGCATGTTATCTCAAAGCGTTTCATAATACATAATTGTTAAATCATGCTTTTCCATGCATGCATTTCTACTATTAAAACATGCATTTTTAGAAGGGGTCCACTCACAAATACTTAGCCGTTGAAGAGCCACGCAAACTAACAAACACGGAAACACCACAATAATTGCCCCTAAGCACATAAATGGTCCAATTATTAAAACTGTATTATAACAATTGAATTTGGAAAAAACGGACGTCAGAAACAGGTTCAGGAGGTCAAATTACCCTTAGAAGGGTCCCGGGTATTTTTCCATGGAATATTCCACCGGGTTGGGCTTAGGGTTAGGTTTAGGTTAAAGGGTTTAGTGGGCCGAAGGCCCTAGGTTCAAAGGGTTTGGGTCATTTAGGCCGCAAGGCTTGGGTTAATAGAAATGGGGCTTGGGTTAGGCTAGGTTAGGGGATTAGGTTTTGGGTTTGGGCCGACTACATAGCCCAACTGTTTAGGTTGGGTTTTTGGAAAAGGGTTTAAAGGGTTTTGGGTTAAGGTGACCTGATTTCAAGCCAAGGATTTGGTCGATTTTTTGCATACTTTCAAACGCTCATAACTTCTTCGTTACTCAACCAAATCAAGTGATCCAAACAGGAAAGTTGTAGTTCTCGACAAGATGAAGAGATTGATACCCTGAACACAGACCAACTCGCGTTTTTTTGGCTAGAAAACTCCTCGAAAGGGGCGGTGCTCGTCTGAAAATTGGGTTTTTTGACC